GTTATAGCAACAGAAAACATTGTGTTGTGCAAAGGAAAAATAGGAATAGTAGTATTACTATTTATAAAACAGTATTTGTACAATTTGTACATTTACAGAAGTAAAATGTATGGCAGCACTAGCACAAAGACCTGGGGAAGGAAGCGAAATGTTTTGTTATAAAATTGTTATTTGTGCTAAGATTCCTGGCCTGAACTGGCCATCCTGTGATCAGATTGGTGACTACCTTGGCTGTTAACGGAGAGCCTTCTTCCAATGAGTGTTGCAGATAGATTCAGAGACCCAGAGACACCTGCTCAGGGAGTCCTGCTGAGGAAAGGGAAAGGGATTGGAGTGGGGGGGGGAGGGGTGGCAGGGATATTATAGGAAAACCGAAAGAAACTTTGTCAGAATCTGAACTAACAACAGGGAGCCTGCACGGGGTGAACTTGCATATATAGCTATATAACTTGGTCTATTTGTGGGACTCCAAATAGTAAGAGCAGGGCCTGTCCCTGGTGCTTTGGCTAACTCTGGGGGACCTCTTTCTGCTGGATTTTCTTGTTCAGTCTGAATAAAGGGGAAGGTTCTTGGTCTTATGGCAGCTTGATATGCCATCTTTTGCTGATGCCCAGGAGAGACCTGCCCCTTTCTGAGCGAGTACTGAAGAGGGGTGGATTGAAAGGGGTGGGGCCTGCAGTAGGAATGTAAAATAAATAAATTAAAAAACTTATTATTCATGAAGTGGTATAATTGAAAGTGATAAGGAAATGATAATCTCGTGTAAATCTAACAGCACCATTTTAAATTGTATGTGTGGCCCTGGGGATCCAGTCTAGGCTATCACCCACATGAGCAGGCACTCTAAGCTATACCCTCAGCCTCCTTAAACCTTTCAAGGCTGGACTTCATTCAGCCTTTGGCCTCAACCTCCCAAGTAGTTGGGATCAGAAGCTGTGTCTACAGGCCCACTATAACAACCACTTAAAAAAAATGAAGAGATTAAATAGACTATTAAACTAGATGGACATTAAGAGAAGAAAAATAATAGGCTAAATAGAAAACAGCTGATTTAAACTAAATTATATTAATAACATGAGATATAAGTGGCTTATAACATGAGGTATACGTAAAAGGCAGAAATTATCAAACTTAAAAAAAGACTTATGCCTCAACCCTATGCTGCTTAAGAGAAACTCATCTAAATATAAAGGCATAATTGGAAAAAAAGTTACAGAAAAGATACCATAAAAATAGTGTAAACTGAATCAGAAATTATTACAAAATAAAATAGACTCCAGAGTACAGGGCATTTTAGGGATGAAGAAGTTCATTCTACAATGAAAAAGAAATCTTAACAAAGTAGTTAATGATTCTAATTATGTCTGCATCTAATAGAGTGCTTCAGAATGCATGAAGTGAGACGGAAACAACAAGAAAAGCTCAAAGCCCAAGCCTGACACTTTTCTAAGGAAAGTCAGTGAGAGTAAACTGACATCCTTAGGGTTATTTACCAACCTGCGTCACTGGCATTCAAAGGGCCCTCAAAAGATGTAGCAGCTACACCGTTTTCAACATCATAGATCATTTAAAAAGATTTAAATGGATTCTGGAGCCTAAAGGCCAAGGTGATAGCTCCATGAGCAACCAATGACCTGAGTTTGATTCCCAGGGACCTATATGCTAGATGGAGAGAACTGACTTCCAGAAGTTGTCCTCAGATCTTCATATGTGCACCATATGTGTACACTTGACCACCCATTCACACATACAGGTAAGTAAACAGAAATAAATAAAATGCAGTAAAATTCTGGAGCATAAACTAAATCTGTCAATTAATAAAGACTAGATTGATGTAAATTATTCATTAAAGCCACAAGTTAGAAATCACTAACAGGGATCAATAAAAATGTCAACTATTTGGAAACTAAACAACAAAGTTCAAAATAATCCATGGGCAAGATGAAATAACAAATTGACAAAACAGTAATATCAGATGAGGAATAATGGAATGCAGGCAAACAGACACATGATTTGGAAAAAACACATATAAAGCTAATAGTTTTTCTGGCTTTAACTCTGTTACAGTTTTCTTCTTTTATTGGGGAAGATAATTGCAAAAAATACAATTGGTAATGAAAGTGCAAAAGCACCAAGCCAAACTTCATGGCTTCAGAATGGTCATTCTAACTGTGAATTCATTGAAATATAGAGGTTGGGAATGAAAAAAAGTTTGTGTAGCCTCGTTAATCTAGCTGCATAATCTTTTTATTTGTGAACTCATTGCAATAAAATGATTTTTTAAAATTTGTAAGTTAAAATTTCAATTAATGAAAATACATCATAGCAAAATTTGAATACACCTCAAGTATTTAGAGTGAAAATTACAACATTATGCTAACATTAATAAAGAATTAATCTTCCCATCTGTAACATTACACTCTAGGGCAATAGTTCTCTTAGTCCCTGGATCAACAGTATAAGCATCCCTTGGGCTCCAGTCAAAATCTGCTTTGTTGATGATGCCCAAAACACACTAAAGACTATGTATGACCCATTGTTATAAGGTAGATTCATCTCTTTTGAGCTACCATAGGCTTTATGCCTTCACTCTTTCCTTATACCACTTCTTCTTCACAATGTAATCAGAGATCTTTTTAGGATGTCACATATCTATCCCATTCACATGAAGTCTAAATCTTCTGTGTGATGGGAAGTCAACAAGAGTGCTTCATGGCTCACAGAAGACCCTTTATCTATTCTTCAGACCTTACCATATCTGTTATGTTTTCTCCATTTCTCTTGACTTGAAACACACTGTCCATGCCTTTGTAACCTAGCAGAACTGTATCTGGTTTTATTTCCCATTGTTTCCCATGTGCTTAGTATACTGGCTAGCATAGCGAAGATGAACTTGTTTTTGAGACTGGGTCTTGAACTATGCCCAGCCTGGCCTGAAATTTGGGCCCCTTCCCAAGGGCTGAGATTATAGGTGTGTACTATATACATCCAGGAGTAACAAACACTTCTGAGTGAATGTATTAATAGAAAATAAAATCTAGTTTTTTTTATGCTCCTATAACAGAGAATCAACATAAACAATGGACTTTCCATTGCCTAAAATTACAGGAAGGAATAAGCAATGCTCAATTGATAATTAAACCAATATAAATAAGGAAAAAAATCATTCATATACCTCTCATTTTTTGACTTTTATCTTTTTGGTAAACCATCAATAGGTAACTAACTGTGTCAGGTTTAGTGTTGTAATACTATGATTCTTAGAGGTACAGTGATGAAAGCTGTTTATGGTCTAGCAAAAATGAGGGAAAGAAACTGGAAGTAGGAGAGCTGGCCTAAGAGTTCTGAGTTCTTTGTTTTTACTGTTATTACTTAGATCAGAGTAGAAAAAGGCAAGCTATTGAGCACACTGCAAGGAAGCACCAGGCAAGTTAGGTCATAGAAAAACTGCCAAGAATTTGGATTTCTTTCTTTCTTTTGGAGATTTTATTTATTTTATTTGTATACGTATTTGCATCTGTGCACCACATGTGCACAGATGTATACAATGCCTGCAGAGGCGCAAAGAAGGTGTCAGATCCCCTGGGACTTGAATTAGAGATAGTTGTAGCTACCATGTATATGCTAGAAACTGTGGGTCCTGTGAAGAGCAGCCAGTGCTTTTATCCATTGAATCATGTCTCCAGTCCACATTTTGAATTCTCAAGTGAAGAAACAAACATGGAGTGAGTTTGATTGCCACGTTTTGACCCACAGCCACTTGACTGGCAAGATTTCAAGGTAAGCCTGTATAATACAGCATGCCTGTCTCAAGAAAGGATTAAATTAAAATGAAGAAAAATACAAACGGCAGAGTCTAGTTGAGTTTATGAGGTAACAAGATCATACGAGGCAGATGTGAAACAATGAAATCACTCCCTAACAAATGACAGCAGCCGGCATCAGGAAGAGGATGACCTCTGAACTTACCTCAGCTAGATAAAACAAGGCTACAATCTGAAATAAGAGAATACAGATCTGTAGGATGGAAAATCTGCTGCCTATGGCTTCCCAGCACCATGCTGCTGGATAAGGATGGACTCTGTTCCAGTGGGACACAACACCACAGCTAAAGTAACAACTTTTGGGAGAGGGGAGGGCAGAACTGGGAATGAATAAAAGTGATTTTGATTTATGTTTTTTAAACTAGCCAGAATTTGTTTTCTAGCTATAACCTACCAATAAATGCAACAGTAAAATCATTTGAGCCAATATCTAATAAGCAAAACCGGTTACCAGAATATGATTCATCTTGGTTTGGATGGCATTTGCCACAGTATTCCTTCACTGCTGCATGTTACCAAAGCCCATTACTTGGGTTTGATTCCACGCAGAATAGCCTTACATATAGCACACACCTTATCTTTACACTCACATCCTTTTCTGAATCTATCAGAAAACTCTGAAAGGAAGTGCTCCCAAGTAGGTAAACAAAAAGTGACATAAAAAGTTTAGGAAATTCAATTTAACATGCTGAGAAGGAACTGTGCCTTAGGGGAAGCAAGGCAAAACTGATTCACTCCAGTATATTTGGTGCCAGAGTGCCTTGCACACAGGAGTGTCATACTGCTAATGTTCCTTGGAATCCACGTTTGGAAGCTTGTACAGAAAGTATAGTTTAGGTGACTGAACTATGTAGGAATAATTCACTCTGAACCTGAGTTTATCCGTTATGTGACAATTATGATATTAATAAATAATATAAACTACAATGACTATGCTACAATGAGGTACCTCAACTCCACAAACTTGAAAGAGTATTTTGTGTTCAATCATCAAAGTGACTGAATCTTCTGAGGGTATTGGAGAGGGTTAAAGTTTCAGCCCTGGTCTTAGGTAGCTGAAGGGATCTGTCACTTCAAAGTCACCCATTAAGTGATAAATTTTTGTGAAAAAGCAGCTTTTTGAACACAAAATAAATGAAAATTTTTGGTCATTTTTTTTCAGGACAGAAGACAAAATAGGAGAAGCTGATATTTTTAATATTTTAAGTTATGTAGGAATCCAAATCCTTGAGTACTTGTAGAAAATATAACATTTTAGGATGATTCAAATGAGTCTACAATACTTACAAGTCCTTAGTAGGTTGGTAGTCTTAAGTCACATATGTCCAAAGTCAGTGTGTGTTTACCCAGGCAGTTAGCAATTAGGGACAGACATGTTTGTTTGCTCTGAACTTGAGACACATGAACATCAGCAAAGGTCTGTATTACCATTTGTTGGCAACACAATCCATTTAGGCCAATATTACCTAAAAGTCCTAAGCACCTGGCCCTTCACACACCCCATTTTAGGGCTGGGGATGTAGTTCAGTGGCAGTGTCTTTCTGTCATGTACTTGGCCCTGGGTTCAAGTTCTAGCATTACATATACATATGTAAACTACATCTAATCAAACGCTCCTTTTCTTCTCCAACTCCCACGTTTTGTGCTACTATTAGAAGAGATTATTCATAACTCAGTTTGATCATATGATCTTTATTCAGAGGATGCTGGTCATAGCAGACTCATTCCTTTAGCCTTTTGCTTTACACACATGATGAACCAAAGCACACCCTGGCAGCTGAGATAAGAATACACCACTATTTAAATCTATATATCTAGAGACAGCTATTCAAACCTCATGTTTCCTAATCCAACCAAACTATTAGTATATAACAACTGTGAATGTGTGTACATGCTTGTGTGCATGCATGTGAGAGTACAGGTCAATAATGGGATCCTTCCTCTAATAGTTTGTCACCTTATTTTTTGAGGCAGGTTTTCTGGCTGAAACTGAACTCATGATTTGGCTATCCTGAAAGGGGCCCAGTGGATGACTGTCATCCACTCTTCTCTGCCTTCTCAGTGCTGCAGGTACAGTTGTACATACTTCTGTACCCGGATTTTGTATAGATTCTGGGGATTCAAATTCATGTCCTCATGCTTCCATAGGAGATACTTTACTAAACCATCCCCTAGCCTCAGATTACCTTGAGTCTTAAATATAACAAACTCTATTATCTCAAGATTCTGCCCATGAGGTACTGACTTTTATCCCCACCTATTGTTTCCCACTTTAAGAGAAATAGGAACTTCTGGTCTTATACTCAATTATCAATCCCAGGGCTACCCTCTCATTTTAGACCTTTTGTTTCTTAGCTGGCTTTTAAACATTTCAAATGTTGCTACCCACCATTCTATCTCCTGTCTCCTCACAGCTTCTTGGTTTTCTATATTCACTTTCTCCTTAAGCACTTAGCACCTGGCACTGAAGCTGGCTTTTGTGTCTATTACTCCATACATGTGTTTCCTCCTCCAGGAGGATAGCCCCTTTCTGCAATCACTGGACCATCTCAGCACTCATCACAACTGACTTAAGCACAACTTACACTCCTCTATTAAAACATTTTCCTTCCGTCTCTATCCTTTTCTCTTGACTACTTTCAACAGCGTCATTTCATGCGCACATGTTTCCTGCACCCTGGGGTGACTCTGGGATACTAGGACCCTGCAGTCTTGCCCTGAGGAATCAATCTCTCCTACTCCAGTGACTTGCTGATTTGCCAGTCTGTCTCAATTCAGCCCTCATGTCTGCACAGGACTCACATTATCTACCTTGTTTAACATCTCTTTTAGAAACCCCACTAACTACATCTAAACCCCTAAAGCTAAAACCGAGCACTCAAAGTGTAGTTAGATGCTCAATTCTGTTGTTTCTTTTTATTCCTCTATTTTACTAAGGCACTGATTTATCTCATAGACTTCTGTAAAATTTATCTTCTACTTAGGGCTTAGAACATTTTTTCCTATTAAATGATGTTGACCTCACCATTTAAACAATGCTTTCCCCAGTGATTCTGCCTTTTGTGATTTTATACCTTCAGCCTGACCGATGCATATTCCCTATTAGCTCTGACTAATAAGTCACTGTTCCAAATGACCCAACTTTATTGACTAAATTTTCTGCGTGTAATTTGTTCTGCTTAGACTCTGCCCACCACTTATCAGTTTCTAGTATTTGAGGCTCTTTCAAGTCTCACTACTTATGCAGCAGTGTTGGATGCATCTGAGTTCCATTTCCCTTCTTCATGTTCCATCAGGTCACTTTTTCCTGGTTACATCACTCAGTTTTCAATACATATTTAGTTCTATGAGAAAAACCTTAGTTTTCTAAGAGCAAGACCCATGGCATTAATCACTGTTTCCTGCTCACAACATAAAATAATTTTATTTATATAAACGTGTGCATCTTTTCTCACTTAGATGAAACGGAACTTCCTGAACTTTCCACACTGACTAAGAACATATTGTAGCCATTCCCAAAATAGGAGAAATAAAATAGGATAAAACTGCACTTGCCTTTCTTCCCATGTCTACATTTAATACAGAGCAAAGAAAATGCAGTGAGATCTTTAGTATTAAACACATCTGGATAGTTAATATGTACAAAGGCAAAACATTCATGATAGAGACAAATCTTTTTCACCAATAGAAATATTTCAAAAATCATAACATACACTGCCCAAGAATTTTTCTAACTCCTGTGGTTAACAGTTCTTCAAGTCTCCGGTCATTAATTATTCTATGCAAAAGAAAACACATAAAACTAATGATGAGCTTTAGTGTTACTTCCAGAAAGGCAAAAATGAGTATGGACTGCCAAGAATAATGAGAAAAGAACACAACACTGCAAGAAACATTTAAAAATCACATAAACATAACAAATATTGTTATAAATACAATTTTATAAAAATAATGATCTTGTTGATTAAAAAGGATGTTAAAATAAAGAAGGAAAGTTATCAGTAAAGATGAATAAAATTTTAAGCAGAACAGGAAACAATACTAGCAAATTTTAAAATGGAAAAGATGAAAGACAACTCTTCACATGATGCTAATTTTTAAATACCCAAAAAAGACTTTTTAAATTAATTTGCAAAAGTAATATTTAAATATTCTCCATCTTCCTGTTTTAGGGTAATCTTATATTTGGCAGGGTAAAGAATAATATTAAAGTAAGATTGTGTTTAATTGTTAGGAAATACAATGGGTGAGAAGCTGCAAGGATAAAATATGGTTCTGTTGTAAAATGAATTAATGCAAATTACTTTTGAAAACCTGTAACAACATGAGATGAAGATGAAACAGAAGATGAAACTATATTTTATTCTTTGTGAAACTTGTATTCATATTTTAGGTAAGTTATAAGCTTAAAAATTCTCTATTAGGTATTTTTCAGACATGGCATTTGTTATAATGTTATTTTTAGCCTTCTTGAGGATCACAAGCAAGTTATTCTTTCTAGTTTTTATTTACCTTTCATAATGGAGATTCTACTTCGACCTCCTTTAAGCATGTTGTCATTTCATGATATTTAAAATTTTAATCATTATATGTTATATAGTACTAAATTTTGTATGTTAAAATTATTTACCTAGTTGAATTGGGGGTACACACAAAACCATTAGCATATTTAAAACTTTTCAACTTACTTGCTGCATTTAACTCCCCCCCTTCCCCCCCCGAGAGAGGGTTTCTCTCTGTAGCTTTGGCTGTCCTGGAACTCATCCTGTAGACCAGGCTGGCCTTAACTCACAGAGACTCACTGCCTCTACATCTTGGAGTGCTAGAATTAAAGGCGTTCACGACCACTGCTTGGCGTGTTGAATGTTTGAATGAGACCTGATGCTATCGACTCTGGTACTTCCCTCAGCCCTCAAAGATTTCTCTAAACTATAAAATGTAAAAATGAACACAAACCGTAAAATATTCTTCTTTCTAAATGTAACTTGGCTTTCTCTCTTGGTGAGGAGTAATCTATAAAGTCTCCCATCTCTAGTATCCTGCACTGCCCAGCACCTACTAGATAAAGAGATGGAAATGGCTATGTGGGCAACTACTATGTTCATGCTTTCACTTCATTTACATTATAAACGGGTAATAATCTCCCTGGGATACCCATGTAAGGTACCTTACTACAATTTAATTTGTTTGCATTCTAAATTTGACATGACCTTAACAGTGACTTGCTCAGCTACAAAGGAATTCTCCTCTTTATATCTATACATGTGAGCTCAATGTCTGAAACACAGAAGTCCACTTAACATACTTGTTGATCACTGAAAATCTTATAGTTACTGGTTTTTAAATAAGCAGTCTTGCAGCAGGTTTTCAAAGCAATATCAAATGGAGTAGCAGTTTAATAAGGAAGATTTACACCCTAGGATTAGTGTCACAGTCTTTAAATGAGTCTTAGCAGTTTTCTGCATATTGTCATAGTTAGTTTTGAGAAGGAAAAGCATGTATTAGCCTGCGGTAGTGAAGTTTTAGTTAGTTGTCACGGTCATCTATCAAATATACTCATGGGTATTTTCAGGAAGCTCTTCATGGCTCTTCTAATGTATTTGTTTGTTTGATACCGAGTGGCCAAGTGCACCACATCTAGCGGCACCTAATTTCAAGGGTTTCATACCAGGTGCCAAGAAATGAGATTGTTTGAATATTTTAGAAATAAATTAGAATCCAAGTAGCTCTTCCTTTTCTATCCACTAGCTTATGTTTTACTTAAGGCACCTACAATGGAACTTTAAGATTAAGGAGAGAAAAACTTACCTACTTGGGATTTTGTACAACAATTGGTCTTTTGTCCATTGTTGCAAGACTGTCGTTTATGTCTTTTAGGTGGCATTTCTGTGGTCTTCCATGGTGGTCTTTTTCTTTTGTTTAATTTGCTAAGAGCCTCAGAATGACCAGCATTCTTTTCAAAATTAACCAGCTTACTTAACTGACTACTGTAAAGTTCATCGGTCAATCTATCACTTGCAGGACTAGTTGCTTTGACATTTCCTCTTTCTTTATTATGTGTTTTAAAGGAATTTTGCCTTGCTGAATGGGACCTTAAATTAAAACGCTTTGATTCTTCTCCTTGCATCTGGATCTCACTGTCAACAGATTCAGGAGAATAAATAATTGTATTTAGCTTAAAAGTATTTCTGTGTTCAAGACAGTTGATCTTCCTCAAAAATATTCTACAGTCTTTTAAAGTTTTTGACTTCCAATTATTGGAAAACACATTTTCCAGTCTTTGTCCCTTTTCAGAACGAGTCTGGCCACACCCTGTTCCATTCTCCTTTGTTTCTGACTTCACTTGACTCTCCAAACTATCAGTTGTGGTGATATCGTTAACTGCCACCCTCTCTTGAGGAAAGTTGACTCTGGTTTCTAGTGGCAAGGCCCACTGGCTACCCACTGTACTTTTCCCACTGAGTGATGTCACTGCATTTGTCTCCCTCTCTGTCTTAGTCAAAAACTGATTCTGGCAGAAAAATTTTAAGTTCCTGCTTTTTGAGTTCCAATCAGTTGTTCTGTGGCTGTGAGGCTTTTCCTCTTTTCTCCACCTTTCACAATGCAAACTCTTAAACTCAGTCCTTTTCAACCTAGCTAGTGTTAAATTTCTTCTCACATTTAAGAGTGGTGAGCCAACCATTTTATGTAGTATATGGAATTTCCCTACTGACTTTGAAGGAGAGGAGACAGCAAATTTTTTAAAGTGCTTCCTGAAGGGGCTGGCATTAAACCCACAGCATTTCACCCCTAATTTAATGCCCTTGGTGCTTATCACTTCCAAAGGGTTTCGAGCATTTGCTTTTCTAACTAAAGAAAGGGACTGTGTTTCTGTTGTTTGCATAAACCAGGTACAAAGTTCATTCAAATTATACTTTTTCTGAAAAAGCATTTTTACAGGTGAGACTTCAAGTTCTACAAGACAGGTTTCCAGAGGGCTTGCTGCTTTAAAACCATCGCTTTCAGTGGGGCCTGCTCTATGAACGGGATTTTGAGCTTCATCTCTACTCACCTGCACCCATGCATTTGTTATTTGTTCAAATCTATTATTCAGTTCCTCTAACAATGAATCATTTGAAGTAGAAGTAGCCCACCACCTGAGTAAAGGGCTAGAAGAAATAACAGGGTCCAAGGATACTTCAGAAATGGGCATTAATTTTTTATCTTCCAAACATTTTTCTGCTTTCCTTGAACGTCTATATCCTGGGAATCCTTTGGAAGCTAGTTTAAAACTTGACTGCCTGTATTTCTTCTTTGGACTTTTGCCTTTCTGCAAATGGAGCTTACATGATTTATGACGCAAAGCACTTTTGTAAGTAAGTGAGCCAGAAGACGCAAGTGAATGTAAGAAATGGAAAGGTTTTCTGGCCCTGATTGAATGTTTTGGAGGTATAGAAACAACAGCACTATTTGATTCATTCTTAAATATGTCAGCATCAGTGGGTCTGACCTTATCTAACTTACTACACTGTTGGTCAAGCTTTTCTTCTCGGCAAGTTTTCTCTAACATAGTCTCCTGTTCTAAAGGAGGTAAGCAGCTGCTAAGGCATACTTCTCTTTCGTGAGGTGAAATTCTACTAATAGTCACGGATATACCAGAGATTTTCACTTTTGCAGGTCTCCCCGGCTTCCTAACAATTGACAAAGGCTTTTGATTTGGTCGAATAATATTCTTGGAAGCCTGAGGGATCACAGACTTGGTCTTGATGGGTCTAACATATTCAAAGTCAGAATAAAAAACCCTACTTTCAGTTGTCAATGTTGACACAGCACTTAGACCTTCACCACAGTCAGTCTCATATTTTTTAGCATTTCTGAGGCGACTAGAGTTAACTGCAAAGTCAGAGACATCACTGTTCAATGAGATGTTGCTGATGTTCACGCTTCCTTCAGAAACACATCTCTTAGTTCTTCTTGACCTTCCATAAACAACAGTGACAGTAATACTCTTTCTATAAATACCTTCTTTCACTTCTGATAGACATTCTAGATTTTTCTTTCCAGCATTAAAAGACTCATTTTGGCCAATACTGACATCTGTTTGATCAGCTTTAGGTTTGGGTGGTCTTCCAATTGGTCGTTTAGTCTGTTTCACAACTTGGGGGCCAATTTTTTTAGGCCTCCCTGGCTTTCTTTTATATGGTAAGTCAACACCACCACTTGACTTTTCCTCAGGGTCTTCTTGTGGCTTATTACTGTTTAAACTGTCAGTAAACTCTGCAGATGATGGTGTGGCCTCTTGTACACAGTTAAATTTGTTTAATTTGCTTTGAAGGCAGTTAATATCATGATTAGAACTGTAATCTTCAAAGTTAATGCATGGTATGTCTTCCTTTGCTTCTCTTTTTCTTCCACTTACTTGATGGGTTTTATGTTTGTGAGAAGAAAACTCAGCATTTGATTGTGATGTGCTGACTGAAGTTAAGGTATATTTGATTCCTTCAGTGCTTTTAATCTCAGATAAAAACATGAGTTTAATAGGACTAGAATAGTTAGAAACAGAACTTTCAATTCCTTCACATTTTGTTGGCACACTTTCAACACTGGATGTCAAGCCACCTCTCTCTAAAATGGGTGCTATTTTTGGATTATGAGGTCTCTTGTTCAGATTCTTTACAGGCATATCATAACTTCTTTTATTGCTAGATGGTATTACAGATTTTGATAAACCCTGACTTTTGCAAGCCATCCTACTTAAAGTACAGGTCAAATCTACCCCATTTTGGTCTTCACCATCTGTTCCTATCAATTTCTTGGAGGCTTTAAATCCTTCAGATTGTGCTTGATTAGTCCAAGACCTCTGAGCCATATTTATTGTGTCTTCCAAACGCTCCACAACAACTTGCAAATTAGAATTCATTGCAATTTTGTTTAAGTCTCTATTTTGGAGACTTTCGGTTGAATCTTTGCTGTGAGCAGAGTCTGATACTCTTTTGCCCTCGGGGAATTTTTTGGAAACAGAATTGTTTGTTACATATATAGAATACCACCCAGGAGGCACAATATTTCGTTTAGTTCTGCTTAAAAGACAAGGAGCATCAGTTCTCAAAAGTGTTTGAGTATTTTCTAGTTTTGTATTTTCACTGTTATTTTGTACAGTCAGTTTTTCAGCTGTACATTTCTCTGGTGATTTTCTTTGGCTCATTTTCTCAGATGAAGCTGCTCTAATGTTTTCTGAAAATTGATCAAAAACCATGCTAGCTCCTAAGCTCTCAAGAGGTAACTGCAGTGATGGCGCTACATCATTTGGTGAAGAAAGTGTTTCTGCATGATTTCCATCTTGAAAGCTCTTAGAATTTTTTAAAGGTTCTTGACAAGGCTGGAATTCTTTGTTCAGTGAAAGCATCTTATCATTGCATGACAATTTTCTTGGATTTTTTTCATTGTATCTTTTCCTCAGAAAGTTTTCATCAAGACTGGCAAGTTCCCTTTTTATCTGTAAAGACTGCCTTCTGATCACAGGTGAATCAGGAGAGTTGTGCATGGCAAATAAGGTCTGTTGACGCTTTCGAAATCTTGTTTGAATAATTTTATTTTCTACCTTCTTATCATGTTGACTCAGTAATTCCATAAAACTATAATCACTGGCTGTTGCACTGTGCAAGAGAGATGTTATTAAATCTCCCAATTTAAAATCATTATCTGAATCACAATCAGTGCTAGATAATTTTATGAGGTTTGATGTATCTGTGGTTTCTATTGATTTTAGTTTTTCATTAATACGATCCATTAAATCTTGAAAAATTACAGTTGTTTCACCCTTCTCATAATTTGAGGTACAACTACTGCTGGTATCCAAGAGCACAGAATCAAAGTTACCGGACTGCTTAGTTTTATTTATTTTGCTGTCTTGATCACATTTGTGAATGCTTATCTCGGCTGGTGTGAGAGATGGAGGCTGATTAGTGCTTGTCTCGAGTTTGTTATTTTCTAAGGTTGAAAGCTCTGAGACGATGTCTTTCCACTTTTCAAATCCAGTCTCCACAGGTGATAATGGTGGGGGTGAGGGACTTCGAGATCTACAGGTATCTTTAAGACTGTCTGAAAGATCACAAACTTCCCTTGACAAAAGAGGACTATGAAAGGCTGATTTTGTCGAGTTATTCTTTGCTAACTGTCCACAACAGCACCTGTGTGCATTATAACTGCTTTCAATACCACTATTCATTACTGTCTTAATGTGTTCAACAGTTACAGTTTGACAAGACAGACAATGTAATTCTTTAATACAGACTGGCAGAGGCATTAAACCAGGGTTTTGTCTCTCATTGTGTAAACACCCTCTTTCTGCCAGTCTATATTCACAGCTACAGAACAGACCATGAAAATCATCTTCGAATAGGGGTTTTTGAGATTCTGAAGACATAGTACATGATGAGTTACAACAGCAAATAGAAGCAGCATTCTGCTCTTGTACTAGAAATTTCAACATAGCCAAAACTTGTTGATGGTGATGTATGCACAAAGATTCCAAAACTTTGTTTAATGCTGATTTTCCTTTTTCCATTTTAGTAGCTTCCTCTGATTTTGCATCAACAGTTGAACTAAAAATAAAAATCAAACAAAAAATGATTACAGCAAAGATACCATGATAAGGAGTTATAATTCTTGACAGCGTTTGAATGACGTATTTTGATATTGCTGGACTCCTGACTCCTACAGACGGAACTGCAAGGACATCTTGGTTACTTTTAGCAGAAACAGTATGAAGCACTGGTAAGTAATTTCCTATGACAAAGTATAGTAGTCAAAGTGAAGCCTTTGCAATACAAGCTGGTGATTCCACATTATTACATTAACACATGGATAATATTAAGAATTTTGGATATATTAATAAATTTTAAGGAAAAGTGCTTCAGAAGGAATAAAAATTTCTGTAAAGTATGACACTTTGCCATATTTTATAATTATCATGTCCATATTAGTGCAAAATAAGGAAGGTAAGTAGTAAAATCTTATTTTTATTTAAAATACTTTGGTAGGTAGTAAGAAAGAAATGGAATATTAAGAGAGCTCTGCATAATCATAAAAAAGTTATCAAATTTCTGAGATTAAGTTGCAGTCATTTTAACCTAGGAAGAATATAAAAGAAAAAGGAAGCTATTTAAAAATTAAATCTACTTTTAACTGATTTAAAAAACTATGGAAAGCATAGGAAAACTAAAGGTATTACTTACCTAATTATTAAATTTCAATGGAAATTTAAAATTCAATGGAAAATGCCCCACCATAGAAACTAATACATATCTGCTTTTAACTAAAACCCAGGATTGCTTATCAACAATATAGAAGCCTATATTTTTAATTCAATACCAGCAGCAAGAAGAATAAAATATATTAAAGGAATTCTGTTTCAGAAAAGTATCCATTTTAATGAAACATCACCAAACTCTGTAGTGGGAACAGCCCTTCTCTCCTAACCCGATGTGCCTGTCATTTGTTCCTACTCTGAAAAAAATGTTATTTAAGGTTGTAATTGGGATATACTACTTACAACTGACCCAATTGAAGAATGTGGTTTTTTTTTTTTTTAAAAATAAACAGTATGTTCATGGTATTAAAAATTAAAGGGGTTTGTTTTAAAAGAGCAGTGAAATCAATATTTTTATATTACTACCTGACACTGGAATAACTTTGTCTATAGCTATTACACAATAATTTACTGAGTTTTATACAATTATGTTGTTTGAGTACTAAAAAGTACCAAAGCAAGTTCTGAGCATGTGATCAAAATTTCACTGAAAAAATTATCATATTTTACAAATGTTTTAGTGAGACTAGCAACATGTTCTGACATACAGAAGCAAACAAAGTGAAAATAAACCAAAATAAGCAAAGACCTTAAAGTTTAGTGCTGCCTCTAGACAAAAGAAGATACACAGCCCCAGTATTGGTCCTTCTGTAAAGATGTTTTAAATCTACTTTTATACTGTAGAGTGTACAATGATAAGAAATAACTCAAGATTCAATGTCAAAGTTTTAAAAAATGTAGAGCAAAGGTAACATCAAATGTTAGTTACCAAATATTAGAAAATTATATCCTCTTCCAGCAATTCAAATTTATGATTTCAGACAAGCAAAAGAAAAGTCAACACACCCTAAGAAGTAGATTCAGTTTCTGAAATAATGCTAAGGCTTGCTAAGCATACGTATTAAGTAGTAATAAGTAGAGTGCTTACAAACTTTTAGAGTATGTTTTATATAATTACAATATATCCTTTTAGCAGTTCCTAAAATGCTGCTAATGAAATGACTTGTACAGAAGCAGTGAGGAGATGGGAGAGTGTGTGCTGATTAGCATGTCCAAAGCCCAGGGTGTAATTCCCAATATAAAAATAAATAAGCCCTGTCAAAACGTAAATGATCAAAAAGCAGCTAATGCTAACTAATATAAAAATGTTAGAATTTCAATTTGATTAATCTCATAAAATTATGAAAACCACTGACGCCTATATGACTTTTCTGATCTTCCAAGGAAATCTTTATTTTAAAGGAAGAGTTTTCCTATTCAGTTTTTAGTTTTTATACTGGAAGTTGAAAAATATCAGTTGTGACTGATACTCACCTAGCAATATGAACAATAGATTAGTACAAAGATATTCAGATATTAGATTTTATCTTATATAAACGGTGGACAACTACATTAATAAATTACAGAATTTTAAAATAGTCTTATTTGATTTCAAAGCTTTTTTTCCTCTCTTTTGATCTACCTTAGAATCTCAAAGAAAAATGTAATGAGTGAACAGGCATATGTGTGAATCTCCAACGCAGAATTTATTCTCAAGTAATTATGTAAAGATATTAAAATTGTGATTTTGAGACAGAGTATCAGAATGTAGCTTTGGCTGGTCTGGACCTTACTACGTAGACTAAACTGGCCTAGAACTCACAGTGCTCCACCAGCTTCTGGCTCCTAAATGCTGAGATTTTTGACCACCTTAGTCTAACTGGTTTTCATGTTTTTTCTAGGTTCAACTCTTTCTAATTCTTTCCTATTCCTTGTAAGTCCAAACATCTCATTTCTGTTACTCTACCCCCTTTCTGTTACAAATTTGTTGTGACAATTTCTTTGAGAGTCAATTTCTAATACCGTTAAAAAACAGAAAACAAAAACTCCTCACAGGGAATCAAAGAATTCAGTGTAGTCAAGTTTTACTTTTCTTTTCTTTACTGAATGAGTAAATTAACCACACACCGACAGTGTTGTAAATTTAAGTGCAAAAGCATTGAAGTGCTTTACTACAAATTACAACCTAGAAACACGTTAACTGAACAATTAAAATTCATACAATCAGATTTAGATATATAACAACACAAAGTAGGAACAAAATTACAGTACATGTACAACACAAGACAGATACATGAATTCATTAGAAAATATTGTAATAAATAATTCATGAATTATAGTGCAATTGATTTATGCATAAATATAACTAATTGCCTAACAATCAGTTTATATTAACAAAATCTGTCAAAATCAAGGCAGCCACAGAGTTTTACTAAATTACTGCGACAATGGAAATACTGCAATTAAAAACAAACACAAGTATCTGCACTGTAAACAACTAAAAAATCAGTCTCACTAAAGTCAGTATACAGTTTAATATAAAATTGTCATCAGCTACCAGAAATGCTTTAAACAACTTTACTGAGCAGTAGTTTTCTAAAAACAGAGGCACTGTTTTTTTCTTTTCCTTCTTTTTTATTTTAAATATAAAATACTTGAGGAACATTCAAATAAGTAGAAAGCACATAAGGGTTGCTTTCATGTTCATTAAAAGTCAGCTGAAACTGTACTTTTCAGAATCTGTCAATTAAAGTAGTAACTGGTAACTAAATTTATAAAGTACTTTGAAGGTATAACATAAAGGACATCTTAATAGAATCAGTGGGGAGAGGGGAACCCATAAACTTCCCTGCCTTTCCTAGTTTGTATAATCAAAAAGTCAACTCAGTAATACAAACGTTATGTTTCTTTTAAAAGTTATGGGTTGATCATTACCTATAAACTATCAAAAAATATTTAATTTACTATTTGACCAAAAATAAATAATACAAGTACGAAAATGCTGCAAATTAACTATAATATTACCTATAAAACTACTGATCACTGTGAAGTCAATAGCAAAATGATCCCTGATATATGAATCCTGTAAAGTTTTTGGTCAGGTCATCTTTTAAATGATATAAAAGTGTTCTGTAAGTTTCCCTTTACTATAAACTTCTCAATCAATTTATCAATGTAAATATAGTGTGAGGAATAAAAAAGGTCAATACAATATAAATATTATGTAATGCATTCGAGCTCCCAAAGTTTTGCAAGCAAAATTCTGTATAAAGAGGTCAAGAAAATTGTTTCTGAAGCATTTACTTTTTAAGTTTGTTTTTCAATGGGAATAGGGGGAAATATAATAAATAATCCATGTTCCGGTCCTCACAAAATATGGCTTAGTTCTTTAAAAAGAAAGATGACCCTGACAAATGTTGTCCTGTAATCTATTATGTATATTTTCTTGGGGGAAGAAAAAGATGAGGAGGATTCATATCCTAGTAAGCAGGTAACATTAACAGCTGAACATGTTCAATACAGATCTCAGAGACCAAGTAATTACCTGGTTATATATTTTCTTATTTTTCAGTTTCTTTCAATATATGTAAGCAGTTTTAAAGTTTAGTAGCTGAACAATCACATATTCATGTGATTATTAAATACACACAAACACAAGTGTAAAACACAAGTATTTGAAAAGGTGCACTCATTTTTAAAATTCAGCTGTAAGAATTCCTTTTGGACTTAGAAAAAGCGGCTTAGGAAAATGACCAGAACCTGAATACTAACAGAGAAAAGGGGCACTGCGGGGATTCTCATCTATAAAGCAAATCTCCATTCTTTACATGGAGGTACATGCTTTTTACTACCAAAACTCATACTCCATAAACCCACATGAATACTCTGATCCATATTTTTAAAACTGTTTTTATAAAAATTACTGGTCTCATATGAGTAGTAAAAGTTAAAATGCACTGCCCAGCTTCTAACTATCCAATTAGTAAAGAGTTTACATTACTGAATGTTCAAAACAGCTTCAGTGTTAAATATCTGTAAATCTATTCAAGACCCTGAACAAACTGCAAATTTGGTTATTAGCAAAATGATAGTGTATCACCCACCAAAATGAAATCTGTAATTCATTTTGATAAACTGAAAATGTTTTGAAATGTCACAGCAGCAAATATATTAAAGTTACACTGAGGTTTTTCAATAGGAGGAGTGTGTCACAATCCTTAAAGTAGTCATAACATCAACTAACCAGCACATTTAACCAAAATGACCATTCTCAAGCTTGTTCTGTGCACATTATAAACATGCTCTAAGTTGCATTCCAACTTTCTTTTCTAACCTTACACATTAGCTTATTTTTCAAATAAAAAACAAAATTAAATTACTTTAATAATTAAATTTAAATTACTTTTTGTTTTTAGTATTCCATCTTATATTAAAGGATTCTATAGCTGCTGGGGCTAACTATGTCAGTTTTTAAAATTTAAATTATATACTTATAACCCCAACTTCCTGCTAAATCAACAATTAAATGATAAATATTAAATTTTACTATACATATCCTTTAAGGTTTTCTCTTCTATCCTGGTGGATGCACTCCAGTGCATTTTGTATTTCATAGAATGCACTGCAGTATATTAATACTGTATCTATTAGTTACTCTTGGTGCAGAGAGAACTATTTAACTTTGATGGGTTCTTTGACATACTCACAGTACTTGTAGGTATGTTACACAAAAGTGTTCACAAACTATTAATATCATATTCCCATTATAAGATGGTTCAACTGAATGGCTAGAATATTCTTTTACCAATAAAAATGTTATCACTTGACAATTACTTGTTTTCCCACATTTTATGCTATTGACTACTAAAGAAAACCTGAATCTTTTTCACCTATTTATACAAGGATTAAATACAAACTATCAGAATTAATAAGCAACTCTATAATTCTGTCCACAGTGAAAACCCTGAATAAAACTTTTTCAAAAGGCATGTAAGTGGTTTTTGAACTGTAAAATTTCATGTCTCCTGTCAGAGTGAGCATTTGTAATTTCCATGTGTGTATGTAGATACACACATACATACACACACACACACTCACACACACACACCTGTGCACACACACATGCGCACACAGACATTCTCTAACAGTAATCTACACAGGCTTGCTGCTGTTTCTGCAGCTGCCAGTCCCTGAATCTGTCATATATAACCCAGTGTCTGGTAATCGTAGTTTCTTCTTCGGAGGAGTCTTCAGTGTTCCAGATCTTTCCTTTACCTTGTATTCTAAAGTGCTGTGAGGTACCCCATAAATTCCTTGTGCTTTGGAAACACTCATTTTTCCACTCATTACCATTGCAATGGCCTCTTCCATTATTTCATGATCATACTGCCGATAGCGGCCACGTTTTTTCCTGGGCTGCTTATTATCTTTCCGGTCTAATCCATCTTCAGTGTTCTCAGAGGTTCCATCAATTGTTCCATTTTTAGAATTAAGACACAAAGGAGAGAGGTCCCCATGTAGAAAGTAAGAGTCAACACTTGAGTGAGTTACAGGCCCAGAACATTCTACTTTGTTCTGTTTAGGGAGTATATTTTTCAGTTTTTGGAGAGCTGTTCCTTCAAGGACTGAAGAGGTTTTGGAAACTTGATACATGACATCCAGCAGACCAGAACCATCAGGTTGTGATTTTGAAACTGAATTTACTCGTAGCTGAGGAATTTTTAACTGTACAGGAGGATTTGAAGTTTCATATTGAAGGCTTTCATTTTTTTCTTTAAACTGAGTAACCATTTTCTGTAGAGTTAACTGATGGAGGTAACTGGAAGCTGTTGGGAATTTTAATTCTGAGGTTTCAAGTAGGTTGAGTTTACTTTTTTCTGTGCGCTCTGTTTGAGCTCTTGCCCACAAGGCTACCTTTTGCAGCACAGCACAAGTTTCTTTACTGTCTTTATATGAGTAACTATCATTGAAATCTCGAGTTTTGTTTTTAAAAGATGCAGGCTTCCCTGCTGGTAAGGCTTCTAAGTGGAGAAGTAAAGTTTTTTGAGGTATGCCATAAAGTATGCCTGCTTTATTTATGTCCAGTGCTCCAGACTGAATGTCTTTCAAAGCTTTTGAGAGCAAACCATCTGCAAACTCAGCACTTCTTTCCACATAGTCCTCTCTGTTTCTGTGTAGTCTCCTGGATGGATGGAATGAAACGATGGTAAACTGATGTATGAGAGACTCTCACACAGCTATGGAAGGGGAGGGTCCACTCCTTTATTTTACTCCTTGCTTAGGTAACATCACTGCTTATGACACGTTAGGTCTGTGGAATGTAGTAGTTACTCCTTATCAAAGCAAACGCTACAGTCCTGGTAGGACAATGTGTCAATGATACGGTGGCCTCAATGGGCAGACCTTCCAAGAACATAAAATCCTAACTGAGTATTTGTAAAAATATTCTCATGATGTTGCTTTTCCTCTGAAAGCTGCTTGCAGAGCAACACTTATAATTTTTATTTACAATTAGAGTTCCATTATAAAAATACCCAAATCCTCAAGGAGTTTTGGTTAGTAGAAACGTGACGTTACCGCTAAACAAGTAATAAAAGAGTCAACCCATTTAAAGGGAATTTGCAGCAGCAAGAGAACTCCCAAACACACACCTCAGTTCCACAGACTCTTTCCTCTGCATAGAACTGAAAATTTCAACAAAGACGTATATGAATAATTCCATTTGAGAATGTTACTCTATTTCAAATGCAACTTTGTAATCTTCTAAAGCCTGTTACACCTGTGACTCCAGCTCTATTACAACCTTAGTTGAAATAAATTTATCTCAGATTTAATTGGGACAAAAAATATTTCTATGCAGGTAATGAGAAGATGCAAAAGTTACAAAAAAACCCCCAAAATCTAACAGAACAGCATTTCACTAGTAATTGTTTATTTAAATTAATTTAGTGACAGTTTTAAAGACATGAAAGGGCTTTTTTGTGGTGATTACTAGATAAATATTAAGTTGTTTGCCACCACACTAAAGCAAAAACTGTAAATATATATGCTAGTTTTAGAATTAGTAACTATAGCACTTTTAGAAATGGTTCATTCTTTTAAAAAACTAAATATTAAAGTTAAATATTTCCCTTAAAATTGCCTCCTGAGTATTTCAAGTTATCTCACTTGCCCTGCTTCTTAGTTTGTATCCCATAATTAAATTAATAGTTCATTTTAGTAACATGAATTGAAGTTTGGTGATTGTTCTGATAACTTTTCTTTAACAGAAAGAAAAAAGAAAGAGAAAGGACAAATGAAAATATGAGAAAGACAAACTTATGAGTGACAAAAATTCTGAAGGAAAACTATGTCAGTCCCACTCAGCACAGTATTAAGTGTTTTCTGCAAGAAGATATTTATATTGACATTGAATTATAATTCCTAGGTAATATTGCTTACCTAGCAACTGCATTTTCGGAAGAAGGATCACATATGGACGACTCTTCAGATTTTATGCTGGTTTTCTTTGTAGAGAGATCTAACACTCCATCCCCTATAATTATTGCAAGAGAAAAAACTTTATATTTTCAATAGAACACCAGCTCTTACATTTTCCTATCTTATTTTGCTGATGTATTAATGATATAAATTCAACACCTATCTCATCCAGTTTTAGGAATAGGACATAACTGGGAAGGTACTACATAAGGAAAAAGGAGAGGAGAGCTAGTACTGCCAGGTGGTAGGGAGGAATGAACAAACACATGTTTTGCTTAAAATCAAATTTTGGTCACTTTTCCACGATCCTGCAGTGCTAAGTCAACTTGACAGCTCATCCATGATTGTTTTTCCCCAAGGCTGGCACTTTGGGAAATCAAAAGCAATGCAAGGATGTGTTATGAATGAGAACTGAATAATTTCTTATCTACTACTTTAAACTGCTGAAATGTACAAGAGTTGATTCTGTGCCGACATTATACTAAGACTAGATAAAGAAACTACAAATAGCAATATAGAAAGAACTAGGAAAGCCAATGGCTATAAAACAACTTTTCAGTATTTTTTTAATTAAAATATAGTTATCACAGGTATAATAGTGAGTTTTCACAAATAAAAAACTTAAATGATTCAGAAATTGTTAAAGGACAAGCCCAGCACAGAATGCATGATTAACTTAAAATCTAACAAGAAATAAGGCTAAGAAGACACATCTTTCTTTTTCCTCAAAAACTGAAAAATTAAGCCTTTGAAAAGGAATCATGGAGGAAAAAAAAATACCAGCTTAAAAGTATACCAAAAACCTAACAAAGTCAATCCTCATATATAATTGTCTGGGGGAATATAGAGATGAATGAATAAAATACCATATCCATAGCCTCCTCTGGAGAAATAATCATGTACTGAGTGCTCATAATGTACAAAGCAACATGGCAGAACGGCAGCACAAAAAGAAAAAAAAGAAAGAAAATCATGCAAAATGCCCATTTTTATGGTGCTCAGTAAAAGTAAAACAATCCAACTATAGAATGCTACCGCCGATGACAACAGTGCTGCCTAGGCGGGCACTGCAAAACAAGTTCATAAAATAATGAAGGTTGGGCTGAGCAGGCCACGCACATGTGTCTACATATTCACATATATCTTTTATTTATTTTTTAAAACATAGACTTACTACCTAGAAAAGGCTAATTTGGAACTTACTGACTAGCCCAGGCTGACCTCTAACTTGAGATCTCCTGCCTTAGCTTTCTGAGTACTAGGATTATAGCTGTTGAGAACCACACCCAGGTGTAGAACTGCTATTTATTAATAGGATTCTGAGCAAGGTGAGATTGAGAACAATCAAGCAGATGTACTGGAGAAGGCTCTAGATGGGATGGTTTCTACAGAAGGACCGACCACCATATAAAATTGCTTGAAGTAGAGGAACATCAGAAGAGGTAAGATCAGAAATGTAGCCGAAATCATACAGGATCACATGGCCATGATTTCATTTCTGAAGGAGACAGGAAGTCACTGAAGGAGTCCAGCAATCTGACAAGATTTCATCTTTATAAAGCATCAACACTGTGCGGGGAATGACCACAAAGGCCTGGTCAACAGGAACTCCATGTGGAAAGCTCTATGCTGTTTCTCATCTCTAAGGCTCCACAATTTAGTTGTTTTCTTTCCCCTATTCTTCTCCCCTCATAGTCACACTGATTCCTCCCAAATTTTAGGCATCGCCCAGTCAGCTGAGACATAATCTGGACTTGGTGGACTGTCATCACGCTAGGTTTCCATTATAGCATTCTTTATATGCATTAGTCATTATTTAGCAGGCCACCTTCTAGCTGCTATAGTTACACAGCCAGCACATCTATTTTATTCAGTAATACATCACTCTGTCTGCAAGAGTGCCTGGCCTACATGTTCAGAGAATATTTGCTAAATAAAAACCTGAAAAATTGGAAGAAACTTAGTGTTGACTTATAGGTTAGAATACTTAGATCAGAAGTGTAAGGAGGGAGACAAAGTTTCTACTATATAAAAGTTATTTCAAGTATCTCGGTCAGTTTACCAATTCAGCCTAATATGCTTCGTTTTCACCAAATCATGTATTTCTCATGCATTTAATCACCTGTATTTAGTTCTTAAGGATATTACACCTATCAAACAGCAAGAGAGCATTCCCTCTGTCTAAAAAGGGGAAAAATATTCCTAGTATTGTCTGAACCGGAAAAGAACAGTGGATAAGGAGGACAGCTTAGAAGGATGAGAAATGGAGACAGAGTATTTTCTTGATCCTAGCAATAATTCATATATTCAACGGTGGATCCATCTACTGGTATTTCTCTTTCATGTATGTACTTATCTGAAATATTAAAGACTAATTCAGTAAATAATTACTATGTATTCACTATGCTTTCATGACGATATACTTGAAGAAGAAATGCTTCACTATCTCTAATATATTACAGTTTGCTTTCCCTTCACCTGTTAGTATTCATGCACTTTTCCTTCTTAGCAACTACGATGATGTAAGCACCTTACCGTGTGTCACTTCATGTTTAAGTTATAAGGACCTTCTCAAACTTATACCTGCAAGTCGAAGTGCTAGACAATGGGCCATGTTCATATTCAACATTAGTAGGTATTTCAAATAGTCATAATTAAAAACAGTACATTCAGCATACAATTTATGTGAAAAGAATAGAAAACTACTTTCCATTAAATGCATAAATTGGTGGTATCAACAATTAGTCAAATAAAAGATTTAAAGAGATCTTAACTATATTTCTAGACATTTATTTACTCCTTATGAGAAAGCAAATTAGAAATACATATGAGCCAATAGTACATTAATTAATTCTAGGTGTCAGTACACAGTTATTAAGCTGTATTTTTCTCTCTGTTTTAAAACTGCCCTCAGTTGCAGACTGGCATTTAACATTACAATTTAACATCCTGTGAGCAAACCCTACAGCAAAATATTCAGAATGCAGGCAACTAACATTTAAATAAGAATATATAGTTAATTGTACATACAGTACTAGCAGAGATAAATTCAAAAGTGGACTGATATTTGAAAATTTAAGCTATGACCATAGTGAATAATTTCTTTGGCATAATACTTTATCAAGTCTTCTGACAAAAAATTAAAAATTGTTTATAAAATGTCTTCATATTGCAAATTATTGACAAAGAATTCTTTACAACAAAATTTTCTACTCTTCAAAAGTCATGGTTCTTTTTCATTTCTGTTTAAATTTGTTACTCTGAACTCAGTTATATGGTATTCCAGTAGCCTTGCTAATTTCCACCAACCTTTCAGCATCATCCCCTACTTAGTTGCCTTTCACAAGTTCACAGCATCTTATGTATGTCAATTCTATACTATGTCACTTTCTTATAATTTGCCTAGTCTAAAACCATCAATCCATTAGGGTCTGAAGGGTAAGTTGGATTAGATTCTATTTAAGCTTTATAGTTAATACAGAGATTTTCTTATATTTGTTTCTTAAAATAATGACATGAAAATGGTAGTAATTCAATAATTATTATCTTAACTTATCACTGGCTTATTCAATTCTGTATTATACACAGCACATATAACCAGCACACAGAACTGTATACAGCAGATTCTTACTGATTAATGAATAGTACTGAGATCAGTGAACTTTGTTCACTGAATCAGTAATGATCATCTGGGAAAGAGTGTTAGCAGCTTCCCCAAAAGAGCTGAAAGTGACTTTTAATCAATTCCTTTATTGGCTGGATTCTAAAAATCTTAAAGACTTACTTCAGAAAGTCAAGATAACCATTACTGTTGAATTGAATATGATTATAAGTGAGAAAAACATCTGTTAACTTCTCACAATCTTATTGGCCTGTAGTTACTATATAATGCAAATAAGGAAGTTCAGTCATACTCCACTTATAGACACGAGTTCAAAAGTCTTTGAGCCATATCATGAATATTAAATTCATCATGAATATTAAATATATGAAACACATGATGACTTGTTTCATGAAGGACAGTGAATACAGATGAAAAGGAAACTATTTTATATTGTCTGGACAAAGAAAAACTATTTAAAATTAAATTCCACCAAAATGTTAAAGTTATCATTAGTAATGAAACTGTTATAATCACTGCTTGACACAAAGTGATGCCAATATCATTAAAAATTCCTTAGGCCATCTTCATTTTACCTCTCTGGCCATTCTTTAACTATCTCTTCAAATAGGACCCTTCCTCCCTCTTCACCCAATGCACTGTTTAGTAAGTCTTTAGCCCTTTTCTTATTGTACTCTTAGGAGAAGTCTTATGGTTTCAGCTGTTTAACCATAGGTATTTAACAGATAGCCAGAAAATATTTGTAGCTTCATAAAATCAAAAGCTACAATTCTTTTCTATGATGGGAAGCATGCAAAAGTGCCTTTGCTGGGTTTGACTGAATGGTCAAGGGACTTGAAGAAGCATGACTGGAAAATTGGTGAGAAAGACATGTGAGTGCATAGAAACTACACGGAAAGACCTCTTTAAATGGACAAAAGACATGAGGTTATTTCTATCCCACGTAAATGCTTATCAAAAGGTTACTTTAGCAGAGGAATTCAATAATCAAGTAGAGAGCATGACCCATTCTGTGCACTCAGTCTTTCTCTGCTCATCCCTATTTGTTACTGCACAAGGGCCGTGAACGAAGTGGCTATGTTGGAGAGATGGCTTAACAAGATGGACTTTCACTTGACAAGGCTGGCCTGACTACAGCCGCTGAGTGCCAAATTATCAAACAGCAGAGACCAACAATGAGCCCCTAATTTGATGCCATTCCCTGTTAGTGACTTGGTGGTAGGTTAACTAAATCAGACCATTTCCTTCATGAAGAGGGTAATGCTTTGTCCTTACAGGAGTAGATATTTATTCCGGTTATGGATTTTCTTTTTCTGCATTTAATGCTTCTGTCCAAACTACCATCCATTCTCACAATACTCCACACAGCATTACTTTTAACAAAGGAACTCATTTCATAGTCAGAAAAATATGACAGAATACCCAATGTCATG